ATACCTTTTTTTAAAAAAAAACCACTTCCATATATTTTCAGGAAGTGATATCATATGAACATGCTGGTAAAATTAGCCTGAGGCTTTTACTACATTTATATACAACAAAAGAAATCTTTGTCCGTAATTACTTGCAAACATATTATTGGTTCCTTGTAATTGTGTAGCCAATGATTATGGCAGAAAATCAATAATTTTATGTAGTTATGACTAAATACCAGTACACAACCCTCTTATTATCAATAATCAGTGTAATAAAGCTGGCTTATTGTGCTAGTATTAAGAGGTCCCAGTATATACTTGAAGCTTTTGTTAGCTGGAGCTGTGTTTCAGCTTAATATAATTTCTGGCAATACCGAGATAATAAAAAATTACTGGCTTCCATATGATGCACATATGCTGGAATGGACAGTCTCTGGTTTTTAGGCTGTCTCATTAGTAAAGCTGGATTCTTCAAAAATGACTTGGATTTTAATAAATTTCAGTGCCTGTGTGTATTCTTTTCTCCAGAGAACTTTCAAGAGGTATCTGGCACATACAGTGTATCACCATTTTTTTTTCCAATTCAGTGCAATGGGATTTTATTTACTGCAGTGTATAAAAGAGGCTACTTTGGAACATGTATATGCCATATATAAGACAAATAATGTTGGTTAAAGAAAAGTTTGATTGTTTGTAGAACTTCAGAATCTGAGCTTATGCTCATGTGTTTCTTTTTCTGCAATGCAAGGGTATTTTCTGGTAGTGGGTAACACTCAATTTTGATAAATTTAGCCCTACATTGAAAGTTTTTCCAAATTTCCAGGGCAAATCTAGATTTATTTTCTTGTGGGGAATGCTAACAGATGATTTAATTTATGCTTGCCATGCTTTACAATGCTCAAAGAGTACTGATGGTAAGTACAGTAGCACAGACCAGCTTTTCCAGAGAGACCAGTCCCTGAGCACAGCTGCCCTGCTGCTGAAGCTTTTCCCATGCCCAGAAGCTGCCAGCATGAGCACTGCTATGTGGCAGTTCTCTGGGCTTCCAAGCACAAAAGCTGCTGGGAGTTGGGCAGTCCTCACCAGCAGAGCCCACAGGAAGTTTGCAACAGAGAGGACAAGCAGCTTCTGTAAATGGACATGAGCCCATGCAGCTGTCTTTACCAAGTCTCTGTCAGATCCCAAAAGAAACTACACTGTCCAATGATTTGGGCACAAGCCTACCACTCCTCCTTAGTTTAAAACTTTTCTTCTACCACCACACTGGTGTTTGGCCATGGTACTAGCCTGTGTTTGTTCTTCCACAGGTGAAGTAGGCACAATAATGTACTTGTATCAGCTTGAGAAGGAGGCATATGTATGAGAGACTGTCATTTTGTAGTGACACTAAAGAAAGCATGAAAATATAATAAAATATCATTTAATCTGTCTTTTGCGACTTCATTAGAGCCAGGAGTTCACTCTGCATATCTCTCCACTGACATATTTGCAGGAAGAGACACAGAGTAGGAAATGACATCTGCAGAGTTCCTCAGTGAGATTGCAGATGAAGCTCTCAAAACCAGCAATTCCATCTCAGGAAGGCTTTTCCTTCCAGGCAGATCCTTGCCCGGGGGAACACGAGAGATACATTCCTGAAGGCAGCCATATGCAGGTCGTGATATAAATTGGACTAGACTGTATTAATATATCACTGCCATAATTTAAGAAAAAAAGTAGTGTCTTTACAGATGCAGGATAGCTGCATAATGTGGCTGAAGCGAGAACAGTTGACATCATTTGATAGTTACCTTTTCCTTTCTCAACCTACTGCTCAGTTTAGCAGCATGAATCAACATGCATGCAAACAGAAGTTGCCTGACAAAGTTTGTTCACAGTACAGTATTCCATGGAGGACTATCATGTCAATCAGAATATTACTGTCTTGCTATTCTTATATTCAGTGAGGAGGTTTCAGTACTTTCATTTAGGTCCCCTCCAAAACATTCTCAACCCCTGAAAGCCACTGCTGCCTTTTATATTCTATAATAAAATTAAAAGAAGCAATGAGGGAGGCATGTAAGAATGTGCTTGCAGTTAATGACCCTACACACATGCTGAAAATTAAATGTACACTTCGTGTTTTCCTGGATGTGGGCCAGAGAAGGCAGCTCACAGGATGAAGTCACCAATGGGTATAGTGTACAGCTCACAGCACACTGCAGGGATCTTTTTCTCCTCTGCTGTATGGCAGCTTTAAAGGAAAAGACTGGAGTCTTCCTTCAGTGCACTGGTGTTTTACACGGAAGGAAAGCATGATCTTTGAAGGGGTTTTATGTCATGACTCTTAAAAAGAGTCACAGAGACTCTGACAATAGCAGTAAATTGAGTTGCCCTGATCTCATGGGCAAGCACAGGTAATACCTACATCCTGTATAGAAAAAAGAGCAAATGGAGATCCAGCTATGTTTGTCAATACTGTATTGTACTGTTTTCAGTGTTCTGCATTTCTTGGTTTTATTGTATCAGTAAAATGACACACAAATGGTCAGTCACAAATACTTGTGCCCTTTGCTGTGCTTCTCTCATTCTTTGTTGGGCAACAAAAGTAGAGAAAATTGGCCTACCCTTTCCAGAAACAATTAATTGTAAACAATTAACAGTTAATTGTAAACAATTAACAGTTAATTGTAAACAATTAACAAGGAAATGTGGGCATTTCTTGCTCCACATGGAAACCTAGTTGGCTTAGAGGTTCCTTCTGGTTGATATGAAAAAGTAAAATAGTTTTGTTCATTTAATTTGTTCTCTCCCTAGGACAAAAAAAAAAAAAAAAAACCCAAAAAAACCCAAACAAAAACCACAACAAAAAACCAAACCAACAACCAAAAAACAACAACAAAACAACCAAAACCACACAGCATTTTTGCTTTTGATTTAATTTGCTTTGCCTGGATTACTATTTCAATGCATTATGGATTACATGAAGCATGAGAATTTGAGAACTTGTGTTTATGAGAGATCAACCAGAAGATTGATCTTGCCCAGTGGTTCTTTGGTTTATTCCTTTGTGCGTAGTCATTCTCCTTTACCACAGACTGTGGGCCCAGAGAACATAATGCATGGTAAGGAACATGGACATCATGTGCACAATGCTGTTGTGCAGAGGGAAAAAACAGCACATAAAGAAAATATATGAGCTTTATATTACCTTTTGGACACATCTGTTGACTTCAAGTGCATTAACCAGTTCAACCAAATCCTAACTAGGATCGGGCAATGGGAAGGACACACTGAGCAGCTGCAGAGTTGAAGCTAGACTCAAATTCAGGCAGGTGTGGCAATGCACAGCAAATACAAAATCAATGGGAAAACAGGAACGGAGAGTAAGCATGCCTGTGATTTGTAATTTAAGCAAATACAAGTGGACCATGTCCCCTACAACAAAAAATCACGTTGTTTCTATTTACAGTGCCTGTATGGAAATTGCCTCTGAAAAAGCCAGTCCCACAAGAAGAGGAGCAGCCATGATAAAGAACAAAAACCCTTTAGACAAAAAACCCCAAAGTGCTACCGTGCAGTCTTGATGAGCACCAAGGGTTATTCTTCCCTGTCTCTGTTCAACTGCAATGCCCTGTCACCTGCCTCAAGGCAACATATCTTTATACAATCCAACTTCCTTCTCCTGTAATCCTGTGGTGCACATATCCTCCGAACAGAGAGGGACATAGCTCTCCCAGGATTTTCTTGGGAAGCTGTGAGAAGCTGGTAGAAAGCTCAGAGAAAGAATTAAAACAATTATTATCTTATTCTCTGCACCTGGCAAGCAATCTCTGTTTGTCAAAGATACTTACAAGAAGGAGTTGTCCCTTCTCGAACAATAGGTGAGAGAAGATTCCTAAAGGCCAGTGAGGTCTTCGGTCCCTCACTGTTTCTATAAGAACTGCGGATTTCTAATGATAAAGTGCCTTTTCATGCCTTCTGATGATGGAGTCTCTGTATCACCTTTGCCTGTGCCTGATACCCCTTCAGTGATATAATCCTAAGGATTCAGAGAAGTGAGGTGTGGTCTTACATAAAATAAACGTCTTCAGACTACAATCAATTTTCTTAAATGAAAAGTACTCCAAGGACATTCTCTGTGATTAGCAGGAAGAGGCTGCAGAGCAAGTGATGAGGCTGCAGAGCAAGTGATGTTCTAATGTTTCTTTTAGTCTGATCTGTCAGAATGGAAATCAACATAATTACATGTTAATAAAGCATCTCAGTCTGTAGCTGCAAGGCCAGAGCAATGCACTTCTGAATACACCTTGTTAAATTATTTTCCCACCCTTCCCCTTCCAATTGCTCAAGTGTGCTAGTGCTCATTTTGATGTAAGCTTACATATGTTTGTTGTCTTAAAATCCAGTTTTTCAATTCACTGGTTTCTTTATTCTCCCCTTCTGCTATGCCATTTGTGTCAGGGACTAGCCTGTGGACAGTGACCAACTCTGGTAGTTGAAAACCTCCCTCTGGCTTTGAGGCTCCTGGTGCCAAGCATTGACCAATTGCAGCCTTGGCACTGTCCTCTGGATGAAGTGGAAAAGTACTTCAGAAACTTTGTTTCCCTTCCAAAAGCTAAAGACATAGGAAGAAAATAAATGCAAAAGAAAAAAATAGTGAGGGAATATAGTAGGGGAAATAAGTTTGGGTATTTATATGTGATGCACTGTTTGGATGGCTGATGTGGGAGTAGAAATGTCTATCATTTTCTGGACAGAGGAGACTTTGTTCTTGGTGTTACCTGTTGTAGTACTTTACTATAGCTGCAGCTACAGATTGGGTCAAGCTTTGCCCTTGGTAATTTTCCCAGCTTTGTTACTGGCTCTTCCTTCTCCTGTTTACAGTCAGTTTCAAAATGGAAGCAGCAGTTCATTTTCTTTCCTGTCCTTTAGCCCTGAACAAGTCCCTGGCTGTCAAGTGGCACTGGAGAAGATGATTTTAACAAGTGTTTAAAATCTCCCATTAATATCTTTGTTTTCTTGTGTTTTGATGGCAGGCTAGCTGTTTCTCAAGATCCCACAGAACTGCATGAAGGAGATGCTACAGTGATGATGTAATTGCTGAGGAAGCACAGACAGAAGGGGAAGACTTAAATCTCTAATCTTCCCCTTGCCCGTGGCTTTCACCATGTTTAATTTTTTAACCTATTTTTTTCTGTCTTTAAAATCATAAATTAATAAAGATTTAAAAAGTCAAACAGTCGGAGTCTGCCTCTGTGTTAACATAATGGATACTTCAATAATATAAAAGTTTATTTCTAAATAAGGCAAAGATGACTTCTAACCACAGAAGCTGGAGCAATAAAAAGAAAAAATATCATTGCTGCTGTTGTCACTGGTATGTTCTAGGGAACTTTATCACCATGTAGCAGGGGTCTGAGGTAAGGGACAGCTCCTGAGACACACAACTGAAACTGGTCAGCAGCATAATCCTAGACTCCCATGAACTTTCATTGTAAGAATGAGTTAAAGCTCTTCTCCCCAAGTCAGGCAGAAGTACACCCTTCCCTCTGAATCTGGTCACGGGCAACTTGAAATGCCCATGAACTCAAAATTTAATAGCTAGTCCCCATTTTAGTCTTCTTTAGTCTTTTTGGCTAATCCTTTTTCTCAAGAGCTTTTGCCATGTATCTTGTATCACCACACTTGCTTTTCCTGGACAGATCCTGTTCAATGCAATTGCAATCAACATAATCATACTGAATTCAAATTATACTGTTCACCGGGATTAGCCAGAGATACAGATAGAGCAGAGTGGTTCTTTGTGGCCCATGAAAGGTCTGCAATCAGCTTCTATTTCTCTGTATCTAACACATCACTGTCTCCAGGTATTTCTTTGTCATCCCTCTCTTTAAGACAGAAAACAACCTCTCTTTAAGATTCCTCCAAGGCCTTCTGAAGAATACAGATATGACCTTAATGATAAATCTTTTGTTGCAGCAAGTATCAGTTACTAGATGCAAAAAACCCCAAACAATGGCATTCTTCTCTCTGGTACTTACACAGCAACGTGCAGAACCAAACTGTATGTACTGATCATTATACTGTTCCACATACCCTGGCACTGTTTTTCACAAACATCATGGAAACATTTTCCATTAATATTCATTGGCAAAGTATTGTTGTTTTGATTATATGAGAGTATTTTTCCACAGGTGGTAGATGAAGTAAGAGGAAATCAGATCCTGCTTTGGAAATCATACAGCCCTGAACCTGGGGGGATGGAGCTGTGGTGCTTGTCCCAGCTATGGGAGACTGTGTCTGTGGAGCTCCCTTGTTTAAATGTCGGCAACACATTATTGATTAGCACCTGCTCCCCGTGTTCAAGTGGGACATTGTGAGTTTATAGATCATAATGTTTCCTCAGGTGCAAGAACTGAGCTGGTGTGTTTGCACAGTTATTGTTAAACTGGGAATGAAATTAATTCAAATGACTTGTGAATCTCCAGGGAGGCAGGAAATGGGAAGTACCAATTTCCATGAGGTAGAGTATGCTTGGCTAAAATTGGTTCTTGGTTACACCTCAGATTTTTTATCAGTTCCAGGACCCTGCAGAGATGGGAGAGGAGTCGGGATCTCTCCCAGAGTCTATTTGCCTCAGCTTGTGTCCCAGTATGAGACATTGTTTGCTTTCCTTGCTTTTCTCCCCCTGCAAATTTTCTCCTCTTCTGTTTTAATTCCAGCTAGCTTATTTTTGGCCTGTGTACAGTGGGAAGCTATCCAGACTTTTTCCACTGACTTTATTCTCTACACCAGCAATCACAGCTGTCATGACTTCATAACTATGAAACAGTACTGCAGGCGGGGGTAACAGGCCCTGAATTGTGTTCATCTGGCAGGAGATATAAAGTGGCAAATGCAACCTGTGTAATTCTTGACCACATGCTGTGTTATTGCAGAAAAACACTTTTATCATGCACACAAATCACTTTACTTTTTTTTTTTTTTCCTTTTCCTTATTTAATTTTCCTTTAGCTCAGAAGGTCAGTATTTTCAACACACTCAAACCACTAAAGAAAAAATGTGCTCAAAATAAAGTCCATAAAATAAGAATTGATTATACTGACTTGTGCCGAATACATGTAGTAACAAGCTGGTCCTCTAAAGGCCATGGCAAAGCTCCCACTGGCTTTATTTGGGCCAAGAGTTCATTCCTACCCTTCATTTTCTCTGCATTAAATGTGATGCCAGTACTATACTTTGATGAAGGACACATGAAGACCTACTTATACAGTGGTATTAATATATTTTTCTGTTTTCAGTGGAAACTGTCAGAAAAGAATAATTTGCAGATATTACAGTTAAATATACTGCTGATTTTCTTGCTTACATTTTCCTGGACATTAACCTATGATCAAAGTCATAATAACCAATAATGGCAAAAGGGTCAGAAGTACTCCACCCACAGTAATTAACTGTACCACCACAGGGGCAAACTGAACACTGAAATACTTTTCATTTGCTGACATGCTACAGCTCTGAGTTAAACAAGAATGAACAGTTTTCAAATTATGAAAGTGAATGTATCTATCAAAAAGAAGAATTTTTGCTTTTTCATTTGTATAGCTATAGTTAGCCAAAAAAACTCCACTTTAAAAAATTCTACTGTTGCAATGACCCAAGTCTGTAGACAAAAGTCCTTCGGAATATTTCTTTTAAATATTTATTTTAGATTACAACTCCCTTGACTGAGGAAACATTTTGCAGCTATAACGTGCTGATTGTACAGTTGCTGAAGAACATACGTAACAGCAAGGTTGAGGTTTTACAGGCCCCACAATAATGTCCAAGCTATTAAACATCAAGCAACAGCAGGCTTTTTTGCCTAACCGCATAACCCTCCAGGGAGAAGCCGTAAAATACAGCCCTGTACAACATGTCATCCACAAGGGCTATACTGAGTTTTTGGATTACACTCTACCTGATTAATACTGATGTCTAATATCTGCTAACAATGTTAGTGCAGACATAACCAGTGTAAGAAGATGCATTAGATTCCTTTGGTATGAACGCAGAGTGAATCAGCTCAAAAGGGTAACACTAAGATCTAAGATCTAAGATTGTTTACCAATACTAAAATCAAGTACTCCTAGGTTTGGCTGTTTTTTAAGAACTTACTAGAAGAATTGTCAACAACACAGACAATAATGGAAAATCCCTTACTAGACAGAAACAACAGAAGTGAAAAACAAAGAGCAGACTTGAGGATTCAGAGGCTGCAAAAGATGCTTTGGTTCAGGTCATAGCCAAGCAACCCAGCCACTAGTGCAAAGAGCAGAAATGAGAATGAATGGAATAATAGACTCTGTGATTTCCTTTGTCTTCAGCATATAAATTGCTCATCTGGAATCAACAAGCAAAATCTCAAGCCAGGTCACAGACTGTGTCTTGTAGTATTGGGCTGGTAAAGGTAAGTACAGTAAGATATCACAAAATCACAGAATCAGTCATGCTGGAAAAGACCACCAAGTTCAAGACCAACCTATGACCCAACAACACCTTGTCACCTAGACCATGGCACTGAGTGCCACATCCTGTCTTTCTCACACACCTCCAGTTGCTCCACGTAGCAACTCCACAGCTTCCCTGGGCAGCCCATTCCAATGTCCAGTCACCCTTTCTGTGTAGAACTTCTTCCTAATGTCCAACCTAAACCTTCCCAATGCAGCTTAAGACTGTGTCCTCTTGTCCTGTCATTGGTTGCCTGGGAGAAGAGACCAAGCCCCACCTGGCTGCGCCCTCCTTTCCTGCAGTTGTGGAGAGCAGTAAGGTCTCCCCTGAGCCTCCTCCTCTCCAGGCTAAACAACCCCAGCTCCCTCAACTGCTCCTTGTAGGACTTCACCAGCCCTGTTGCCATTCTCTGGACATGCTCCAGTATCTCAACATTCTTCCCAAACTGAGGGGTGCAGAACTGGACACAGCAGCCAAGGTACAGCCTCACCGGTGCTCAGGTCCTGAGCCTGGTCCCTGGCCACATGGGCACATTATTCCTGATACAGGCCAGAATGCCTTTGGCCTTCTTGGCCACCTGGACTCACTGATTGACAGTAAAGAGTAACTCCAGGTCAATCAGTAGCCCCAGGTCCCTTTCTGCTGGCCCCTGTCCAGCCACTCTGACACCAGCCTGTAAATCTGCAAGGGGTTACTATGGCCAAAGCACGGGGCCCAAAACTTGGTCTTATTGAACCTCATATTGCTGGATTGGGCCCTTTAATCCAGCCTGTCCAGATCCCTTTGCAGAGCCCTCGTACCCTCCAGCAGATTGACATTCACCAGCTTAGTGTCATCTGCAGATTTGCTAACGATAGATTTGATCCCCTTGTCCATATACTCCCAGGAAGGACAGATTACCTATATGTTCTGCAGTTCAGCATGTGAAAAACAGTTACTTCTCAAATACTTCCTCTGAAATGGGCTTTGGGTATGGTACACCATGGTCTGGACCCAGGACCATGTACATTTGCCATAAAACAAGCCTATGTGGAAGTTCTTTACTAAATTAGGAGTGCTGTCTCTTGACAAAGAGAGTTTTCTGATGCCAATTCTGTTTTCATTTAATCAGTTTGGAGAAAACAAAAGAGCTAGACTGATCACCTTGACAAGAGCAAGTCTTGCCTTAACTGGTGCACATGCACTTGTTCTAACAAAACCATGTTTCAAGCTTCTGCATGTCAACCAGCTGATTTCCTTCCTTCTTTCCCATAGACTGCAGTGTATTCTAAGAAATATTACCTGGAACTCATGTCTGCAGCACTGGTGTCTGCAGCCACTATTGATGGGCTATGAAATTTATAGCTGAAGCAATCAGATACCTCAACCTCTACACTCACCTATACAACACAGACCCTATGGCACCTTCTGACATGGTAGACAGGGAGGTGATTGGAATAAACTGTTGCAGCTTCACCAAGGACAAGTCCCGCCTGACCAATAGAAGGCAACAGCCTTCTATGATGGAGCGACTGCATCAATGGACAAGGCAAGTGTTACACATGTAATTTATCTGGAATTCTGTAAAGCCTTTGACATGGTCCCCAACAACATCCTTCTCTCTAAATTGGAGGGGGAGGAAATTGGTGGGTGGACTATTGGAAAGGAAGGGGACTATGTGACATCCAGAGGATA